CCTGCTGAAGAAACGCGATACGCGAAAGACATTTATGGTATGTTTTAATCTTATTTTAATGCATAATGTATTTAAAATTTTTTATCATTGTAACAATTGGCGTATAACATCTCTTGCATTAAGATCAATTATTTTCGGAATTCAACTTTAAAATAGAAATCCAAACTGTCTTAGTCACTCGATATGATTTTCATTTATTTGATAATTTTTGGAGAAATATGGTTAAATTAAAAATCGGCACCTGTCTCAGAAAATATGTCGCGGACATGTGCCAAATGGATATTCGTGCCACAAATATGTCATCACGTGCAGAAATGTGTTGCCAACATCATTCTTGAAAATCTCCTTTGGGAAGCAATAGTTACTTATTGAAATTAATCGGGTCAAAATGACGAATTTAAAAGCTCGCTAAGTTGTGAGAAAAAACGTTATAGTTGATATTGTCTACACATTGATATTGAATCAACTTATATAATCTTCTATACTGAAGACATAGAATGTCAACGTCAAACATTTGCGACAGTTTATTGGGAAGATTGTACAATAAGAAACTTTATTTTAGTTTAACGAAATGCGTCTAACTGAAATATACAAAGACTTTTATTATATATACATATTTAAGATTCTGTCTTCACTTTCGATCTTAATTTATAATTTTTTAGGTTTTTAATGCTCCTAAATCTTAGTTAGATCAAAACATAAGTTATCTTAATTTTTCCTTTTTTCTTTTTTAACTTTTATGAATAATACACAATAGACACGAAAAAATATACTTTATTTCAATAATTTAATATAAGTGCTATTTGACTTCACAGTTAAAGCTCTCAATCGAATTTTCGCCGAGAATAGCTAATTTTACATTTATTAGAATCGTATAAGAGTGAGACGAAAGTAAAACAACGAAAACGAAAAGACGTGGTCTATACGAGAATGGCGATGGCACGACTGCGTTCGCCAACTATACGTTACCAATCGGTCGTTTTTGTGTAATCGCGGTGCCAACTGGGCCAAGAGTTTGCGACGAAGAAGAGAAATGCTTCTCTATCTCGCTGAATTTTTCGCGCTCTTTTTGCTCTCACTGTGTGCATATGAAAAGGTCATCGAACTACATAATTAGTATAATTAAAAATTAAATCATAATAAGAGAAAATTATATAATTCCAATTTTTTTAAATTAAAATTATAATTAATAAAAATAATACTCGAAAATGATTGATTTAAATACAATAATTTATAAAATGTATATGTGTATATAATACACATACGTATAATTAAACTTAATTGAATTAATGAAGAATTTAAGAAATCGTTAGTAATTCGATATATCAAGTATAATTGTCTCAAATATTATAATTTTATTATAAAAATTTATTTTTCACAAATATTTTGT